GCGGTGGTCACGGGCACCTTGCCTCAGGAGGCGCAGCCGTTCCTCTGGGCACCAGCAGCAAGTGCCCAGGTAGGGAGACCTGTCGTGCCGCCGCTAAGACGCCCGATCCCAGGGCCCCTCCGAACAAAGCCATCCCTCGCCTCCCAGCGCGCAGCTCTCGCCCAGCGTAGGGAGGGAGAGGAGCGTCCCGCCGGGGGCACCCAGCGAGCTCTTCCCGCAAGGCACAGCACGACTTCTGCCTTACCGCCACACCTCCAGTGCCTGGGACATCCTCAGCGCATCCACCTCACCCCAAACGGGTCCTGCCCCGCCCTACGGCTCTGCAGCCAGAGTCGCCTGCTCAGACTCCGGGAAGGCAGCAGGTCTCGAGGGAGGGAAGGCAGGATGCAGGTCTGCGTACAACTTACAGGAAAGCCGGGATTGAGCCAACGACTCGCACCAAGGGGAGAGGAGGGGTATGAGGGGAATGATCAGCTGGGGTCAGGGAAGCTTAAATGAAAAAGGATAGTAATTCTTGATATGGGAAATTAGTGTTTAGTTCGAATTTGTTATAACAGTTTAATTTTGTAGCTTTGAAGCCATGCTGAGGCAAGGGTTAATTCTTGGACTGTGGGTGAAACTTTACTAATCCCCTGCTAAAGTTTGTGAAGTTGCTGCCTGCATTTTCACCTGTAATATCTTCAGGAGAGTCTCACTTACACTCTGTTAAGAGTTCCAAAAAAATGAACATCAGCTAAATTAGTGGGCGTAGGTCTGTTTTCCCAAGTGACAGGACAAGAGGAAATGGCCTCAAGTTGCACCAGGGGAGGTTTAGATTGGATATTAGGAAACATTTTGTCACAGAAAGGGCTGTCAGGCATTGGAACGGGCTGCCCAAGGAGATGGTGGAGTCACCACCCCTGGAGGGATTTAAAACACATGGTGCTTAGGGACATGGTGTAGTGGTGGACTTGGCAGTGCTGGGTTAACGGTTGGACTCAATCTTAGTCTTTTCCCACCTAAACGACTCTCTGACTCTATCAGCATCAACGCTGCTTGACTTAGTACCTTCCCAGCGCAGCCTTCCAACGCGTGCTCTGCCAGATGTACGCTTAATTTGGTATCAACACGAAACTCGTTGCTTTAGCACCTAACACCTCCTCATGCGCTGTTACCACACAGATCTCTGCCACCACGCGCAGATGACACAGAAATGCACACCTAACAACTTCTTCCTTCTGGAGAAAGGAAAGAAAAAGCCCTACCAAAAAAAACCTCCCAGTTTTAAACTGAAAGTGAAGAGTAATGAAAGCCAACAACCCCTGAACTGCAAGTCACTAGTGTAAAAACACACATTATTAACGACAAATTCAAAAGACTAAAACAAATCACAGTTGGGTTTACCAAGGTGCCTCTTCTGGCCTTTAAAAAAAACCCCATGTTGTCTTGCTGTCGCCTGGTTTCTTTGCTTGGAAGACGAACCAAAATGAGCACCTGTTTGTGCAAATATTCCATTTATTTAATAAACTGGCCAGAAAAATACCACCACAGACGGTTCTCAGCACCATACAAAATGTTTAAAAATCCTTCAGTTACAGAGGAGTTCATAAAAATAGCTTACGCTACTCTAGAAATCTCAGTAGAAACACATGGATTTGTTAACAGGTAGAAATTTGGGCACAAGGCGCCTGGCCCAGAGGGCTGGAATGTTTACCCCTATTGGCAACCTACAAGTAAACTCCCCAGAACCGTTTAATCAAAGTAATCCACACCTTCCTGCTAAAACAGAGGGACGTGAACAGAGAGATCAAAAAGCACGTTCATTTCCATTACAAAGAGACATTTTTACCATTTCTTGATAAATATGTATGCAGGTTACCCGACACAGGAGGAATATTCAAGAAAGGACGTTCGGGATTTTCCACGGAAACCTCTGGTTTGAAAGTGGTGTTTTCTTAATGAAATACAAAACAAAGCACATGTGGAACTAAATACAGATTTTTAGGCCATATCTAAGGTTTTTCAAAATTGCTTTTTGGAGATGTTTGCTTGTTTGAGTGCTTTGGGGTTGGGTTTTTTTTCATTCTACAGGCCCACTAATCCGGAGAAAAGTCAAAGTGGTTCAAAATGGCCAATTCATACCTGAAACAGTGCAGCATACACCAGCTCACCTGGAAAGGAGGAATTTAATTCCAACTCAATAAAAGCTCTTGGAAATGCAATTCTTTCCACACTGGAATTCTGTCAGTTCCAAGCTGGATCAATTATGGTCACATACACTGCAAGATAAAGCTAACAGGATCACATCTGCGTTACGTGCACGGCTGCTACGGTCCGGGAGAAAACCCACCTTTCTGCAGAGCAAGGCCCTAAATAAAAGGTGTTTTCCATTCTCACCAAGGAGGATGTTTGCACAAACAAGTTTCTCTAAAATAAAAGGTCACCATGGAGGCAGCTTAGAAACCACACCATGTGTTACTCTGGTACTAAACTTTTTCCAAGGGTATCTTCTTCCTCCTGATCAAAGACTCAGCTACAATTTCCCCTCCAGAGGCTCGTGAGTGGGGGAAACGCATGCTCACGAGGAGACCTTGCAACTGCTGCGCTACGACCCAGCACCCAGGGGCACCACACAATTATCTGAACCCGGGACGACACTCCCGAGTTCGGAAGTTCTTTGTTCAGACAAGAAACTAGAGAGAATAAACCCAAACCACAGCAGTTGTTGGCCAGCTGTGCCAGCAGTTGTTCCATCACTGCCCACCAGACAGCGCAGGCTTTGGGCTGTGACTTCATGGACGCATCCGTTCAATGCCCTGCTAAGCAACAGCTCCACAGTCAGTATTCCCATTGCGTTGCTAATTGCCAGCCAATCCCCGCAAGCGACCAACTCCCACAGCGCTCTTCCCCGCGGCACGAGGGAAGGCAGGCGCGGGCTAAGGTCTGCACCGTCCCGCAGACGCCCGAGGACGCTTCTCCCCAAACCTTCCCTCCGAACTGCACGAGGCGGACACCGCGAGGAACGTCAGTCTCTGGCAACAGCAAGAATGGGGGTCTTTAACCTCAGCATCCAGACAGGAGGATATTTTCACCGGAGCGCTTCGTCACGGACAGAGTGGTGAATACCTTAAGAGAAAGCCAAAAAGACACATTTTAGCGTGGCCAGAATTAATTTTCTCTTCTACAAGACCAGCTCGAGTGTAACGCTCAAAACTAAAGCCATTTCTTAAAGTAATAAAACAGTAACAGAGAACATCATTTCACACCCTCGCCACTAGACAGTGCCCATGCGTACAAATACCCTTTGTTCTCTTCATTTACCTTACCGTCTTCCTTTCCCAGTGGAAAGGCAAGAATTAAAGAAATCACACGGCTTTCCACCACCTTTTGTCTTATCGCTCCTAAGTTTTTACTGTGGGACCGAGCTCAGCAATAACGAACTCCGGTCCGTACACCTAACGAGTAAGTGCCTATGGCCCAGAGGGAACTTCTTTGTTGGGAAAGCAAAGTTAACTCAAGGCTATGGCATCTGGAGGGAAGAGGAATTTTGCCTCTGCGCCTTTCCAGGTATTACAGAAATGTGGAGCTGGTTGATGATGTAGATATTACATCTGGGATCCGTACACTCCGGACAATAGGTAAGAAACACTTAGTAAGTCTAGTTTGAAAAAGTCCAATCTTCACTGCTTTCAAGTCACATTAAAGAAAACAACATTTTCAGGACTAATTACTGTAAAATTAAAAGGCATCAAAATTCAAGAAGAAAAATCCTACAAAGCCTTGTTTAATATCAGCACTTTACTACGCAAATAATCAAAGTCCTGCGTCGATGTAATATAGGAAAGGAAAAAGGAAGTCAAAACCACTTCTACCTAAACAGTTCAAAGTTGCAATAATTAGCTACCATCAAAGCCACCTCTCAGGAAGAATAAACTTAGCACAGAGTAAAGCACAAACACATTTCAGTTATGCAAATAACACTGAAGCGTCTGAAGATAACGGGGATCTGTAAGCCCTGCGGTTCTCTAAGTAGCAGCTTTGCTGCCTTTAGGGCCGCCAGCAGCTGGTCGGAGAGCAGCCTCAATACTGATCTACCCCCTCCCCTCTCGGTCAGCACGCGAAGCCTACGCACGGGTCAGGACGACACACGCGTGCCTGACACGCTCGGCAGAAGAACAGCACTGTATTTAAACTACAGTGCACGGCTTGAGACAGGGTTTCCAGCTCTGCAGCTCTGAGCCACAGGCTTGACAGCATTTACTGTTGTTTCACTGTGAAAGGCAGAGATTCCAAAGTGCAAACTGTATCTGCTTTCTCCTCAGCCCGAGTGCAAGCTCTGGGTGTGCTAGCCAGTTCCAGCAGCTGCGGGGACCACACAGCTCCCACGCTCCAGTAAGCCAGTTGGGAGTCATTCCACAGTTACTGGGAACGTGAGGTTTCTGACAGAACTTGTGAAGTTACCCGAGTGAAGACAAAACTTTAGATCCCAGGACTGAAAATCCATCATCAGCCAACTCCAAAAACCATTCCAGCTTTCAGCAGACACCTTCTCCATCACGGATGCTCGACTGCACACACCTGTACTTCAAGCAGTGCGGCACAGTCCAGGCTGAGAGGTAACTCTGTTGGGCTGAGGTCCTACCAATCTGAGCTCGCACCCGTTTGTACTCTGTCTTGCAAGACACCCCCTCCAGCCTCCAGGCTTTCTGCGGAATAACGCTGCTCGAACACAAGAATTGAACTCTGGCTGGGATTTGTAAGCAGCGAGAAATGGGACCCGCAGTCTTTAGTGTCGTCTTCCCATTGAGTAACACCATGTTTCATAGAAGACTCTGGGGAATGAATTAGTACTAATGTTGGCGAAGATGTCAGCATCTGACCCTGCAACGGTCCCTTTCCTGCTCGGATCAGACTTCATTTTCCTTAGTTTTCACAGGGACGTAGGATAAAAACAATGCCGACATTATCCACTGTTGAATTCATCCAGAGACGCGCAGTCGTCACAGATTCCGAACAGCTTTTAAGCACTTTTTTAATCAAAGAGTACCATCTTGCACTTTGATTTTTGTTTACTGCTGAAGAGATTAAATTAAGTAACAGGCATAAAAAACCCTTTTGAAGGCTGACACTAAAAATGATTGCTGTTCCCTGGAGCTTTTAAATAGTGCATTTCTCCTGAGCCCATTTCTTCCTCCCCCACTCAAACAAATATGATTATCTGAAATTACCTCCCTAAATTATGTCTAATCATCATTCTATTCAGTTTCAATTTTAGCAGCTCAGATGTCCAGAATAAATTACAACTGCCATCCGCTCCTCGCGTGCATATGCAAACACCCAGCTTGAGCTCACAGGTTGGAATGCCTCCCTCAGGGTTCCCCCTCCACAGGGCCACGGGGTAAGATAAGGACCTGCTACTCCTCCTCAAGGGCTTCCAAGAACACCCTTAAGATCTCGCTACAGGAAAAAAGGCCGGGATGTGCACTGTGGATGCTCTGAAGATGACTCAGGCTGCCAGCAGTCCGTTCCATCCACGGAGCTCATGTTATATTGCTTATACCATAACACTTTGGAACACAAAACAAGACGACTTCACTCCTGCAGACAGCCCTCCTGCTGCCCTCTACTACTCTGTGTAGCTACACGTGCAGGTAAGGACACAGAGTCTGTACAAGGACCTACAGAGGCGATAACACGTCTTTTGCAGGAATCCTCCGCTCATATAACTGGTGCTGACACTACTGAAATCAGGGGAGTACTTCTGATGGAGAGCGGCTGTCCCTCACCCACTAAGAAAATTAAGCTCCCCAGTAAAGAACAGCAAGACAAACACAAGAAGAAAAGTGGTTGTGTGGCCTCGCGTGCTTCACTTCAAAAGTGAAGTCCTGGAGAGTAAAGGAGAGACCTTCAGAAGGGTAGAACTTAACTGCGGTCATTGCCACGCGGCTGGTCCCCTTCCATAGCACCAGTTCACGAGCCTATTCGAGTACACGCATCTCAAAACAATTAGCCTTGACAACCTCTTTAGCAGAAACGGTATTCGAAGCCTTCATAAGGGGATCTTTGTGCGGGAGGGAAATTCTCTCCTTTCCAGCAGAGGGAGCGTTAGGTTCAGGGAGACCATAAACATTTCACTAATTAACACACTAAAAACAATAATCCAATATTAAACCTAAAAATTAGATTTCTAAATATTAAAACCAGTTATTTCCTGTCCTTCCCTCCCCCCTCCTTCCCCCGAATTCAGACCTCGTAGAGCTCTGCTACTCAGATTTCCAGCACCCCACCCCAGAACGCTAGGAAAGCCGAGACACAGGTGACTGAACACACAAACCTCTGCGCAGACGGGATGAATTCCTATGGTGCTGTCCAGCTGTTCTTTTGTCATCCCGCATTTAATAGCGGCTGCAAACCCTTGGGTGACTTCTCCAGCATTTGGACCGAGGACGTGGAAACCGATGACTCTCTCCTAAGTGCCGAAGAGAATCAAATGCAAGCACAGTCACGCACTCGGTCCTCTTTAGACAACGCGTTAGGTTTTCCGAGTCGGGGCGCATCGCCTCCTCAGTTCACCAGCCATAGCAGAGACTAACGTAACCACACTCTGTGAACACGGAAGATGCTATTGCTTCACACTCCTCTCCTCTACACAACCCTTCAATTGCAACACGCACCAAACTGCACACAGATCCTCAGCGAACGGTTGGACTTGATTACCCCGAAGGCCTTTTCCAACCTAAAGATTCCATGACTCTGTGACTCAAACACTCAACAGGAGTACTGACTTCACCTGCTTTTCGTAAAGAAAAGCAAGTCTTTAGCAAATGCTCCAGTGGCTTTCGGGGAGCTAATCAGATTTTGCTGAGCACCGATGCAGCCAGTTGGCTGTCAGAAGTTATCTGCTCCTCCCACTAAATATCCTATGAGGGACCGTGGAAACTCAGTACACTGAATGGTTATTTTTGTTTCAGTGAGCCTGAGGACTGAGATTTACCACAGGGTTTGTTTAAATAAGAAAAGCTATAATTGGGTAATAACTAAAGTGGAATTATCCTTGTTTTCCTTTAAAAACATGTACATAGGTAAAAATAAAACCAGAGTAAAAAAATGGGGTAGCTACCATTTTAAATAGTTACTGAACACATTTTTCATCCAGGCTAACTTTTAGCTCTACCTCCAGATGCTTAAACACATTCCTAATTTTCAGGACAAGAAATGGAAACAAATTAATGAAACACTTTAAATCACCATTAAGCCTTTTCTTTTTTTTTAAGTAACTTTGGATTAGGAACACAGCCATGAGTTCCAAAATCCCACACTAGTGCAAACTCCTCCAGACAGAGGAGATGGGCAAAACCAGACAGGCTTTCAAATTTCCCAAAATGGTGATGTGATGCTGAGAAAGACTGCAGTAAGATAAATCTGTCTGATGATAAAAGAAAATAATGTAGAACCAAAATTTTATTAGGACGGATAACTCCATGCCACCATCTCAACAGGAATACATCTTTACAGCCTATTATTTTTCACAGTTATTCATGTTATTAAAATCAACTAAATTGTTATTCAGCAGATGATGGTCATTCAGAGGGGCACACCAATTCTTTTGACCGATTAGTCATTCTGCTTGGGCTTCCTATCCACAGCCAGGAAGTTTTAACCTAGTCCAAGGATAATCCTGGCATTATCACCCTAAATGAGATTTGTACAGGCAAGATACACTAATCCTGTTAGAATGAGCTCAAGAGTTTTACAGACACACGTGGATTTGCAGAGGTTACAAGCTGTGATGGTTTCTGAGTGAATTCAGTTTGAGGGAGAAGACTCCCCCAGAAGAGAATGTCCCAGTTTGGGGAGGGGAGAATAAGACAAACACGTAAGCCCTGTAACCATTTCTGTTCACTTCCCAGAGTTAACGAGCAGCCTTAGAGGTCTCTACTTCTCATTTTACAGAGATGAAGAAGTACCATATACCGATGGCAATGACAGAATTTTCTGTTTTACCGAGGGACATGGTTGTATAAACGCAAGTGCTGCATCCTATTAATATTTATTAAATTCCAAAAGGTGGAAAATTTAAATTAACTTCTAATTTGTTAACAATAACCTGTTAACCTCTGTAGTATCAACAGTCCCCATAATGAACATTTAGCTGCTGTTTTCCCTGGAAGGAAAGATGCACTTACGTTATCTTGGATGTTGCAAATTATCTTTGCGTAGCATTTGTTGTTGTCTCTGGATGGCACAGTCCATTCCAGCGGCCAGAAATGACTATGGTACACCTGGAAATACAGGTTAAAAAAGAACATTAATTGTGTAATTTCACATCAGGGAGCATGATCTTCCAAAAACTGCCAGATTATTTTAAATTTGCCTCGTCTACATCCGAAGGCAGAGCTTTACTACTGAATGCAATTGCTTCAGGTAATCACCCACGTGAGAACTTTCAACGACAGTGACAAAGCGCAAGGATGAACTGGTAACGAATTACTCTTCATTAGCAATCAGCTATGCACGCGGAGTTTGGAACACTTGAAATCAGAGTGAGACTCTTTCCGCCTGATGAAGGCCCAAGAAGGAAGCCTCTACGAAACAAGCACTGGTGTCATCCAAGAAGTCTAAAAAAAGAAGCCGTAAGCGTACTACGCTTCCAGGATGCAGTTCACCATGCTCTCCCTAAACTTGACAAATACCAGCTTCCCCTACAGAAGGCTGTGTTGTCTCTGGTTCTACCTGGAATGAAGGCAAAAATATTTCTCAGAGCAGAAAAAGGGAAGAAAAAGCCTCAGACCCTGAGTTTAGGAGACATGTGGGCATGCTTTCTGCGTTCTCTCTTAGATTATGTATCACTGCAAAATGGAAAGTACATTAAAAAACCCTAAACAAACAAAACCACCAAAAAACCCCCAAACCACATTCTTCTGTCCGCCCCAGCCAACAAAATTGGACAGATTCCTAACGGCAGACAAGACCCTCACCCACCTGGATAGCACGTATTTCAGACAACAGGGCGTTCTGAGGCACACATCTACCCAGAACTCTCAACAGTCCCCAGTACAAGCTACCCTCAAATGGATTACTGTTTGAAGGGAGTTTTTAATTAATCACAACTCCAGTAAAAAGATGTCCCTTCACAAACCAGGAGAGACAGCTCCATTAAGTTCCATACTAATGGGGTTAACAAAGCATTTCAGCATTGCCAAAACCGAAATTTATCAGGTCTGAATGACAGATGCAACTCAATAATCCTACTGAAGCTTGAAAAAGCCAATATGGTGACACGATAGAGAGGTCAGACTAAACTAACCTAGGACTTAGCCACAAGAGAAATGCTTCTGGATGCAGATTTTCAAAAATGGCTTTGAAAATGAGAAGCGCGTTTTCCGCAAAGAAAGGTCCAGTATGACACATGTAACAGCAAGAATTTGACTCAGTGTTGAGTTAATTAACTCTCTCCCAGCGAAAACGAGCACACTCAGTAACAAAAACCTGACTGTGGCTATACAAACTTTGTGGGGAGAACAGCATTTAAACCCCTGCCCTGTAGTCAGGTTAACTGTACCTGACGCACCACCGTTTTAAGTCATACTCACTGCTTTTCTCCACAGTCCATGTCAGAAAACATAACTGACAAAGCTAAGAGGGAGACAAGTTCCCAACTTTCTGAGCCATCATGTACCTGCTCACTTCCCCAGTAATGTTCCCCAGGTGATCTTCATGGGACACAGCAGCTCAGTGTATTGTCAGACTCCCTCCCCTCATTCTCTACTGTGGCCTGGACAGCCCCAGGCACTAAGTGCTTACACGTGTCCAGTTCCACTCTTGACCAGCAACCCCAGTGAATGAAGAAGGATCGCTCACGTGAGTCAAATTAAGCACAGACCTCCTTGCAGTCAAAATAAACAGGAAAAATGAGTGTGACAACATTTGCCTTTATAAAATAAAGGTTGTGATGGCAAGGAATTTCCCACACCAGCTAAAAAAAGCTCCACTGACATTAAAACCAATGTATTGCTTCCAACACACGGCCAGCTTTAATTATCCTCTGGTATTTGCAGACACCAAGAACCCTTTTTTTAAATTTTTAAAAGAAATATTCCACCTTCAAGCCCTATTTGCCGAAAATAGAACATATTTGCAACTAAAGCTATCGGAATCGGGGACTATTTTTATAACACGTCTAGGAACTGCCAAGGAAGACAAAAATGGAGCTAGTCACCTCCTGCCCTCAGATCACAACACAGAATGTGGTTTTAATTGACTCTTGTAAATTACAAATTGGCAACTTAAAATTCAAATGAAGCTGAGGCATTTACCTCAATATTTTCCTCCCCAAACTTCTCCACCGCCGTCTCTTCGGAATACCCACAGGCTCCATACTCCAAAGGAGTGAATACAGTGGTTGGAACATTCACGTAGTCACACTGTGTGGCATTCAAAACAAATTTAAAAAAAAAAAAAGCATACAACATCACTAAAAAAAAAATCAGCAGAATGGGTAAAAATTCAGCAGCAGAAATTCAGACAGGTAGAAAAGTTGAATTATTCAGAAAGCTACTTTTTTTAAAATGAAAAATGCATTTTAAATTAAACTACAGTTTTGGTGTTGTCCCTCTCAGAGGCATTAAGTAGAGCAAGAACAGAAAGACGATTTAAAGCCACACTGACATTAACATAGATAGATTAAAAGGAAGTTCAGTGCCCTGTTTTAAATATGTACCAGATCAAAGGTCTGGTACCTTTCTAAAAGGGATAAGAAGCAGACTGTTCAACTGCCTTTACAAAGCATGCTCTTTTTAGCTGGGAATGCTGCAAGGACACCACCACCATCAAAACCCACCTTTTTTTTCTATCAGCCGTGGCCTAGGCAATGCCAAAGAGCCACAGACAGGAACTCCAGCCCTTCAGGGGGATAGCTAGCACCAGAGCTGACACTGTGCGCCTCATCGCACGCCACGAGAGACAGACACTAACCCCTGCCTTCCCTGGAGCTTTAGTGTCCTAGAGGTCCCCTCTCTGGGCAACCTCCAGGGCTGACCACCCTCACTGTAAAGAAGTTTTTTCCTATGCTTAGATGGAATCTTGCTGTGCTTCAGTTTGGCTCCATGGCCCCTTGTCCCTGCACTTTACACCGCTGAGAAGAGTCTGGCTCCATCTTCTTTACTCTCTACCACCAGGTATGAATACACGTTGATCTAGGAGCCCACCAAGCCATCTCTTCTGCAGGGTATATATAACAATTCCAGCTGTCTCAGCCTCTCCCCATGTGCCAGATGCCCCAGTCCCTTAATCACAGTCACGGCCCTTTGCTGGGCTTACCTTGTTCTTTTTGTTCTGGGGACAGCAAAGCTGGACACAAACCCCAAACCTGTCTCACCAGTGCCAAGTGGAGGGGAAAAGGTCACTTCCCTCCACCTGCTGCCAACGCTTTTCCAGGATGCAACTGTAGGACGCAGCCCAGGATGTCACTGGCCACCTTTGCCATGGGGGTACATCGTTGGCACCCGGTCACCTTGCCCTCCAGACCCCTCAGCTTTCTCTGCACAGCTGCTTTCCAGCCGGTGGGTCCCCAGCCTGTGCTGGTGCGTGGGGTTACACCTCCTCGTGCGCAGGCCTTTGCACTTCTCCCTGCTGAGCTCCGTGAGGTTGCCGTCGCCCACTTCTCCAGCCCAACGAGGTCCCTTCAAGTGACAGCAAACCATCGGGGTGCATCAGTCACTTCCCCCCAGTTCTGTATCACCTGCAAACTTGCTGAGGGTGCAGCCTGCCTCATCACCCCCATCACTAATGGAGATGCCAAATGGTACCGGACCGAGCACCCAGCCCTGAGGCACATCACTTGCGACCGGCCTCCAGCTGGTCTTTGCCATGCTGTCCCAGCCCTTTACGCCTGGCAGTTCAGCCAGTTTTCAATCCACCTTGCTCTCCACTTCCCTAGCCTGTACTTCATCCGTTTGTCTGTGACAGTGTTACAGGAGACAGCATCGAAACCTCTACTAGAGTCAAAGTAAACAGCATCCACTGCTCTCCCCATATCCACCAAATCAGTCATTCCGCCATAGCAGACTAGTGGGCTGGTCAGCTCTGCTTAGTTCTAGTAATTCTAATTTCTACAGATTTCAACTCCAACTGAATTTCCTTTGTGACTGGGGATCAACCCCGACATTGCTTACCACTATTTCCCTAACCATTGCTTCCCGCTCTGTCCCTAACACTTCACTATGTTCCACACAGTCTCCCTTGCCAGATTTGTTACAACAGCCATGTAAGCCAGGATCCCATCTAAGCAGTTACTCATTTCTTGGATTCACCAAAAGAGATGATGCTTTCTTTGGCAGCCTAAGGATTTTCATACCTAGAGAGACAGTTACCTGGCATAAAATGTAAATTAAGACATATCCATAGTATTGCAGCAAGAAAAAAAATTCTGGCTCCAGCTACGGTTTTCCTAAACTTTGCCTGGCTGACGCAATGACATCATGCACACTGAGTCAGGATTCTGTTACCGCAGTACCTGCCAACCTAAAATAAACAACTCAATCAAGCTCTAGGTCTGACTGACAGCTGAACTTGGTATGGACACAGGAGGCTCTGGAAGAGAAAAACTCACGCTGATGCCCTACGGCTACGAGAGCGAGACGAGCACCCACAGTGATGGCGCTCGGATAACAGTTCCTTAAAGGCACCCTCCTTTCCTCCTGGTTTAAAGACGAGGTGTAAATGAGTACCCATGTTACTCCTAGTTGGACTAGCATAACTTGGCTGAAACCTGCAATTGCACTAGCGTGAAACAAACACTGAATTGATGAATTCAGCTTCTCAAGTATAGGTACGTGCTGACTTGTTGGTCCACCTGATCTTCCTTTGTGTCCATATTCAGTTGTAAGCAGAACAGAGTAGTACATTGAAAACACACAGATGAGAAGTGAAGAAATAGTAGAAATAATGTAGAATTATTTCTAATTCGAATTAGTTCTAATTAGTAGAAATAACCCATCACAAACCCTTTTACACTCTATTTAGGGACCATAGGTAGGTTTAGCAAACTGCCTATGAATTAAAGCATTTAATGGGACAGGAATGATTGCTGACTTTTAGGGAAGGCAGCAGAGTTAAAAGCAAGTTAAATGGTGTCAGTTAATTTTATTATCATTACTCAGAGAAAAATAAAACCTCTTAATACGAAAAAGAGACTATTGCTTAATCCATAAGGTATTAATTTCATCCTACACAATCAGCAGAACACATCTGCAGTAATATCTTTGCAAGGGGAAAATTAAAGTGATGATCCAGGATAATCCTTAGGCGGCTGGGTTGGCCATAAGCAGGCAGACTTGCACTCTGCACTTGGCAGCAGAGCAATGAGAGTGTTTTGTGGCACCTGGTTACTCACCTTAGTGGTTGTCCCAGCATAAAGCCTTTGAACTAATAATCTTCCCGCCTGGATTGCCACTGGTGTGAGTTCCAGCTTGTCCTGCAGTATATCTCCAACAGCATAGATATACGGCACATTTGTTTGCTCCTCATCGTTGACAGGAATTTTTCCTGTTCTGCAATTTGAATTGACAAGAAGAGAAAAAGTAAGTGCCCTGCTGTGAAGACTGAGGTGTAAACAACCTTGCAGGAGTTGGGCCCTGTAGCTTTAAGACAAAAACACGTATTTGAAGCATGAAGGAAAGAAGTCACATCCACAGCCTTACAACCTTGGGCAAGAGCGTACAGAAGTGCCAATTTCACCAAAACTACAGAAATTTTCACACTGGGTAAGGAGGCAGCCCGTGAAGATGCAATCCACCTCCTGAATCAAATCTCTGGTGAGGCACAAGTTCTTTCCTCAAACACCCACTACTACCAGCTGAGCTGTGTACTGGCAACCTTGAGGAACGACAGGAAGAGACATTCTCCCACTCCAGCTGCCGGACAACAGAATTTCTCCACTACTGAAATCCCAGCCCAGGGGCTGAAGCAGTTTCTATAAACTTACTCTTCAGGCTTCTGCACAGAGACAGGTCAAGCTGTTAGACACTCTACTTAAAGGACAGCCACAAGCTTTTTAGCTGTAAGCGTACTGAGCTAATGGAAGTTTTCAGTTGAAGGGGGCCTACAAGGAAGCTGGGGGGGACTTTTTACAAGGGCCTGTAGTGACAAGACAAGGGGTAATGGGTAAAATTGAAAGTGGGGAGGTTTAGATTGGATATCAGGAAGAAGTTCTTCCCGGAGAGGGTGGTGAGGCACTGGAACAGGTTGCCCAGAGAAGCTGTGGATGCCCCATCCCTGGAAGTGTCCAAGGCCAGGCTGGATGTGGCTTGGAGCAACCTGGTCTAGTGGAAGGTGTCCCTGCCCATGGCAGGGGGGTTGGAACTAGATGATCTTTAAGGTCTCTTCCAACCCAAACCATTCTATGATTCTATGATTAATAAATGAGTTAGCACAGTAATCACTGCAGGAAACACATGTAACAGGGAAACCTAATCAGGCACAGAAACGGTCACACAGTTACTTGAGGGACCAGTGCAGACCGTGGTATTAAAATCCAACTTCTTCAATTTTGCTGTTGTTAACAAATACACAGTTTCTGCTGATCATTTTATAGTTCATTCGACTAAGCTAGTAATACGTGACCCGGTGTCAGAAAGACGCGTACTGTTCTACATGACAACGTGACTGCCAACTTTGAGTGGATCAAAATTTCCACTTATTTAGAACACCGCAACAGCTCCCTTCAGCAACATCAGTCACGGCATTCGTATATAAGCTGCCCTCGGCACTGCTGTTCCACAGACTGCCAAGTCAAGTTCATGGTCCGGCATCTTCTCCTCAAAGGCTGCACAGGCCTAGTCGATGTTTGAGTTACCAACACTGAAAACGTTACCGATAGCTCCACTCCCTGGTGCAAAGGCTTCACTACATTAAACATGAAATGCTCTTTACAGGAGACGGGGCGTTCCCAAGGGCTGCTCTAAGGCAGGAACCAAACTCCTTCAAAAACTACAACACATCAACTCCAACTGCGAGTTCAAGGAACGCTACTTTGACCTTATGCTTCAAAGTAAACATATAGTAGTGTTTACATCAAAAATTTAAATGAAACCCTCCACACTAAAAGCTTGTATGGACAAACAGATCCGTGCCCCAAGAGGTGGTAGAGAGAAAAAATAGAGGAGATGGGAATATAGTGTACAGAGTACAAGGAAAAACTGACAGGTGCTAGACAGCCCAGTCGCTGGAAGAAGCTGAGACTGACCTGCGAACCAGAGTGGAACAGACACTTTTGAATCCCAAGATTTAGGAACTGACATTTCAGTACCAGAAAAGCAAAAGTGGCAGCACTATGGGAGAAAACGCAGCCCTCTGCTACATGGCCTCCTACCCACTCATACGCCAACGGGAAACAATTTTTCCCTCACCGCCTTTGAATGCCTGCGCACCGCTACCACTGCAAGAGCAAGTGACACAAGCTCACAGTCAATGCTGTGCAGGCGTCTGCCCTTACTTTTCATTGATCTTCACTCCAACTTTGTCCAAACCAATTTTCCTTGTGCATGCATCTCTTCCAATCGCTAGCAACACCTGCAAAACAGTAATGCGCGTGACTGACCTTTTAAAACCTCAAAAGCATACCTGTGTGTGGCTCTTATTTTCATTATAGACTAAGGATTAGTAGCTGAGTCACGTTAAGATGAATAAGTTTGTTACTCACTGTACATTCACAGAGCTCATGGCAAGCCACACCATCACCATGACTTAACAATACCAGGGTTTAATGATAAGATTAAATACAGCCAAATAGTTTTCCCTAGAAAAATAGCCCATGAGTATCCAAAACAAATCAGTTAGGGTCAGATTCTTTATTTTCATTTCCTTGCATTTTTATACCAGAGTGTTATACCATATCCCTGCCAGAGCAGATGACCTCAAAATGCTCCCCAAGGAAAGGGCTCTTCAGAAAGGAAACTCAGATGCTTAGGCAAATAAAAAGACCATAAAATAATCTGTGTTTAGATCAGAAAATATCATTTACTTATACAGGCTCTTAGCCAAGTCACCGCCAAAGATTATTATTTTTTGAATATTCTTTGTTTGAACGTTTGTTCAGAATGATGGACAAACCAGGCCAAATTCCTACCCATCCTATGAACTTGGCTACCTTAACAAGCAAAACAAGTTCCAGCCTGTACTATCACAAGGAAAAGTGCTACGTGCTTCACAGTCTTGGACAACTGCCCAAGTAACTACACAGTGCTTCTCATACAACCAAGAACTGTGCTGGAGGAATCCGAGATCTGCTTCAAGCCTTTTAGATGACCAAGTATTCCAGATCTTCAGAGCTGAGGGTCTTAAAATGCATCACACACAGTTCATAAGCTTCTGTGAGGAGTGACAGCATGTCAGGGAAGGAAATCAAAAGTTCCCTTAACGAAAAGATGGCACTGCTGTGCTAGCAAAAAGCTTTCAGTACTGTTGACCAGGAAAAATAGTATTACCACACTGTGCAACAGCACTGTTGTTCTTGTTAAACTTTCTCATAATACGAGTCCTCAGATACACTGAGGCACGTCCTTGTTATGGGATGAGTGATGCACTACACAGGTAAATGAGGTCACTGGCACACAGCATTTGCAGTCTAAAATCCCAGGCTGCCAAACGCTCCTCGTTCCACATTCTGTGTAGCTCCAAATACTTTATTCCCAACACTTTTTCTTTTCCTTTCAGCATCAAGGCCTAAGAAAATCGGTGCGGTGAGGGGTGATGGAAGCAGTCAATCAAACGTGTAATGACACACCTGCACACTGCAATCTCACTGTTTTAAGTGTGCAGTGAAGTTCCCCGACTGACTTGCCACGCAGCGCTAATTTCTGTGAAGGTGCTGCGGCAACAACAGGCCTTGAGAAGGCATGACACCTGTTGGCTTAGCTCTTGCACAGAGCACTGTTTTGTGCCACCTCCAGAACATGTTTCAGTCACTCTGAAACTTATTATAAATCATCGCTTGTCGTTTACGACAAATACCCCACTGGGGAAGAACCCTGAAACTGATTGCACACCATCAAGTTCATCTACATCCCTAAGCTAAAAAGCAGGGTTCAAAAGCATATAAGTGATCTGGCAAGGCACACGGGACTCATGGCCGTGGATTCTGGGACTTCTGTCATATTAATTACCGATTGATTGTGCGTAATTAGCGTACTGTAATGATTAAAACCAATTTTAAGAAACCTAAACTATGGATAAAAGCACCCCACAAAATCTTAACATTAAAGGAAAGGCTGTCTCACGTTCTTTACGTATACAGACAGAACTCACAGTATTGTATTCCCCTTCAATTATTTGGTCCCCCATTGTGGACTTGGCTGTAACTCTCAATCTTCCAGGAGTTCCTTCCTCAATCTGCTCAACCTACATTACGGAAAAATAAAATAAAAAAAAAAAGGGGGGGGGGAGCGTGGGTTTATTTGCAAACAGAGATACGCAAATCTATCTTTGTCCCACCACATATCACTGAAAATGAGTGTTTAACCGTGACCTAAAATTCAAGTATTTTGTCTAAAGATATTCTCACCTTCCTCTAGATCTGTGACTATGACTTTCATGTTTAAACACTTAGCTTATCTTCGTGCATTTATTCTTACCAACACAATAAAACCTTGTTTGTTTATCAAAGATGATTGATAGTGCTAAGTTCTTGTCCAGTGCAAGAGCAATACCACTGGCTTTTTTTTCCCCAAACACTCCTTTTCCCTCTGATAAATCAATCAACTAAACAAGTGAATGGGCCCTGAGGCTACATGGGTGGGTTTTCTCTTGTCCTCACTAATGTTAAGGCCTGGACATCCTCGGCTGCAGTCCCTCCCTCACCCTACCAGGAACAGTAAGGTGCCCAAGGCTGGATGCACCCATCCGACACAGGCCCCTGTGCCTGTGGGGTTGGTGTAGCTGGGAGGGGGAGTGGTAGCTAACTAAACAAGTGAATGGGCCCTGAGGCTACATGGGTGGGTTTTCTCTTGTCCTCACTAATGTTAAGGCCTGGACATCCTCGGCTGCAGTCCCTCCCTCACCCTACCAGGAACAGTAAGGTGCCCAAGGCTGGATGCACCCATCCGACACAGGCCCCTGTGCCTGTGGGGTTGGTGTAGCTGGGAGGGGGAGTGGTAGCTGGGGAGGGTCCACAGGGGTGGCTCCTGAAAGAGGCTCCTAGGAGCTCCCCCTGCTCCAAGCCAGGCCTGCTTCTGGCCACAGCTGGGCCAATTAGCACCTCTGTGATTAAGATATTTAAGAGGGGAAATCAAAGAGAACTGGCAGGGGAGAGAGGGGTGGGATGTGGGAAAAAAAACAGGCAGACACCCCAGTCAGTGAGGAAAGACGGGAGGAGGTGGCTGGAGCAGAGGGTCCCCATCAGCCCATGGTGAGAGGGCAGGCTGTGCCCTGCAGCCATGGAGGGTCACGGGGGAGCAGAGACCCCCCTGCAGCCCGGGGAGGGCCCCACGCCGGAGCAGGGGGATGTGCCTGAAGGAGGCTGTGACTCCTTCCTCCTGGGAAGCCCAGGCTGGAGCAGGCTGCTCCTGAAGGATGGCACCCCGTGGGAGGGACCCACGCTGGAGCAGTTCATGGAGAACTGCAGCCCCTGGGAAGGACTCAGGTTGGAGAAGTTCCTGGAGGACTGTCTCCTGTGGGAGGGACCCCACGCTGGAGCAAGGGCAGAGTGTGAGGATCCTCCCCTGAGGAGGAAGGAGCAGCAGAGATGTGGGATGGACTGACTGGGAACCCCCATTCCGCCTGCGCTGTGCTGCTCGAGGGGAGGAGGTAGAGAAATGGGGAGCAAAGCTGAGCCCAGGAAGAAGGGAGGGGTGGGGGGAAGGTGGTTTAAGATCTGGTTTTCTCTCTTATTATCTTACTCTGATCTGATTGGTAACAAATAATATTGATTCTTCTTCCCCAGATCGAGTCTGTGTTGCCCATGACCATAACGGGTGAGTGATCCCTCCCCATCCTTGTCTCAACCCCTGAGTCTTTCTCGGTATTTTCTCCTCCCCATCCCATGGAGGAGTGAGCAAGCGGCCGCATGGTGCTCAGTTGCTGGATGGGCCTAAACCGTGTGCAACACTTAATTACAGAAAATTTTTAGCATTCATTCTAAAGAAGGAAAAGTACTTTTCAACAGCTGCCCTAGTTCCTACTTCGTATTCATTATTTGAAGACAGGACAAAGCAAGAGTTCTGATGAAGTTCTCCTCCCCTTCTTTAATTTAAAACCACCTAAACCTTCTTTGCCACCTACCAACTTTAAAGGATCACTGTTAAACTGCTCCTATTCAAAGACAGCATTATTTATAACAACTCATCTTCTGTTTTCCAACATCCCAACGAAGGGTTTTAATAAGCACAACATGCATAACTTCAAAACCAACGTTTGAAAGAGATGAGAAGACCTGCTAAAATCATATCCAGCAATTTAAGTTTAAGGATATGCTCAACTGAAAACAGGGACAAACACTTCATTCCCATTGAAATCAAAGACATGCAGTGAAGGGGCAAGGTAAAATACACCAAAGTGCTTTTAGTGACTAGGGTGAGGAACTCTTCGCAGGAGGCATTCAGAGGAGACCACTCACTACTTGGTTGAAACGATTGGTTTCTTCTAAGACAGCTTCCTCCGTTCACATGCCCCAGAAGAGCCTACAAACAGCTACGTCTGAAACAAAGGCTAGATTTTCCCTGGTTTCCATACAACATGGCATTTCTGCAATGCAAACAAGCATAAAACCCCAAATTCCTTGAAACGTCCCACTTTGACTTCTCACAGAAAGTCTCTCCCACCCCGTAAGAGGGTCAGACCCACTGCCTGGAAACTGGCAACAACATTTTTTTAAGCTACTCTTGATATTGCTACGGGTTAAAGTGAGCAGTCTTCACTCAATCTAATGCTTTAATCCCCAAAATGTTAAACTTATAACACGCTGGCTTAATGCCAAATTGAAGACTGCTTAATACATTATTTCCTATTTCATAATAATTTAGCACTAATTATTGTGAAAATAATTTAAGAAAAATACTGTTAGCAGCCTCTGAAGTCTTTGATAAGGCAATTTTACATTAGAAAAGCTCCAGGCCTTATGTATTCTGCTTTGCAACCTGAATTTGCCTATACGTGCATATAACTACCCACACCAGTACAGAATTCAAAGAAAGTTGAGCAAGTATTTAAGGACTCTGCCAAGTAAATGATGGATACTTAAAGCCCATTCACTTTTCTGGATAGTACACTGGCCCTGGGCACACAAGCAGTATGTGCTGGCTGAGAATTTGAGAACTGGCAATGAAAAATATGACTATTTGTGATGCACGGGCCCAGATCTTACAGGAAATTATATCTCTGTTTAATTACGAGTTTCACAGGTTTAAGGACAACTGCTGAATTTAAATAAATTCAACATTTGCAGGGCCAAGATGAGCAGGAATAACAACATTTTTAATGCAACATGTACTAACCCATCTAATTCTGATAAAAAACAATGAATTCTGGAATCTCACCAGTTTAATACCAAGACTAAATCGTACTTTTCCATTACAAACTTACTCAGTTTAAACCAAAACATTAACCCACACTATGTCATAGCAGATCCTGTACTGCAAGTTCAAATTTGTATTCACTAAAATAATTCACATCTTAAAACATGATGGTAGGTATACTGTAATCAATTTTAGTCAGGCATCACTTTCAGCCTACCTTGATTGGCACAAACTCCCTAATAAAGTTGATTCCATGTTCTTCCATATATTCACCAATTTTGTTTGCAATATCCTGGTCAAATCCTCTTAAAAGAATGGATCTCACCATTACAGTGACATCTAATCCAAGACCAGCAAGAAATCCTGCGCATTCCAAGGCAACATAGGAAGCTCCAACCACCAGGGTTTTCCCTGGACAGTAAGGCAGAGAGAAAAGATCATCACTGGTAAAAAAAGAAAAAGAAAGTTAGAGACAACCAGAAGACCATGTTGTGCTGTGTATTTATCTAATTTCTTCTGTAAGAATTGGACTTTATTCCACTTCCTGCTCATTAAAAAACACAACAACTTAAGTTTTGGGAAATTCAGATGGAATACAAAATCTGTCCATGATAGATTAAAACATTCTAATTAGGAGTGCACACAAAATAAACAGTATGAACATTCTGAATCACCACAAAAATTGAGGTTTTTTTTTTCCTCTGAATCTTGCTGTGAATTTTAGCTCCCAAGAGATAAGAGGAAAGGGTTAAAATTTAAGAGAAAAATACCATCTTCACTTCTCTAAGGACTTACCCTTTTGCTAAAGTATTACAGATAATGCCAAATAACACACGGACAATAAAACAAATTAATGCAAACCACAGTAACAGAGAGAGAAGTACAAATTTAAGGAAAACGTTTATTTGCCTGCTTTCCGTTTCTTCCCACTGCTTCATCATGCCATGTCAGCTCTACCAGACTTTGGACCTGGACTGTAAAAGCACGGCCTCTCAAGGAAGCAGGGACTCACGGAGGCATCACGTTTGCTCAGCGGACACTTAGGCAGAGTTTGGCAATGCAACTGGACACAGATTTAAATCCAAAATAAGTTCCTCCTTCTCAGCCAACAACTGCAAAGGCTAAACAAAGATGCTTTCTGCAAATGTTTTGGTGTAGGAAAACGTGATTGTGTAATTACAGGCTACATCATAGTTCCTGTCCCCCAGGGAACCCAGTGAAGATTACACAGACAGCCTCAACCTGGTAGTCTTTAACTCGGGCATTCATGACTCTTCCACCTTAAAGCACCACTTTACAGTCTATATTATCTGTTACCTTTAATTTCACTACTACTTATTAGAAGGAAAATGTACAATGTGGTGTTTAGGTTTCACAGGGATTACGCCAGCTATTTGTTTGATTGCTACGAAATGTGTGGCCAGCAGATCGAGGGAGGGGATTCTCGCCCTCTGCTCTTGTGAGACCCCACCTGGAGTGCTGCATCCATCTGTGGAGCCCTCAACATCAGAAGGATATAGACCGGTTGGAATGAGTCCAGAGGAGGCCACAAAGATGCTCAGAGGGCTGGAGCCCCTCTGCTATGGGGACAGGCTGAGAGAGTTGGGCTTGTTCAGCCTGGAGAAGGCTACAGGGAGACCTTATTGCAGCCTTCAAGTACCTGAAGGGGCTACAAGGAAGCTGGGGGGGACTTTTTACAAGGGCCTGTAGTGACAGGACAAGGGGTGATGGGGTTAAATTGAAAGCGGGGAGGTTTAGATTGGATATCAGGAAGAAGTTCTTCACGGAGAGGGGGGTGAGGCACTGGAACAGGTTGCCCAGAGAAGCTGTGGATGCCCCATCCCTGGAAGTGTCCAAGGCCAGGCTGGATGAGGCTTTGAGCAACCTGGTCTAGTGGAAGGTGTCCCTGCCCATGGCAGGGGGCTTGGAACTGGATGTCTTTAAGGTCCCTTCCAAGCCAAGTGATCCTATGATCTATAGGTTTGCAAGGCTGTAATTCCAACCTGTTTCTATATGAAATAAAAGTTACTCTGATATGAAAACACATTTCATCTGCATATCACTTTTTTTTTGGTCAAAATTGTGCTAGAATTGCTTAGTCTTATCAATTAACCAGACATTTGAAACCAGTTTTCCCAGAAGTTGAATTAACTTCACTGAGCAGCTGGAAAAAAACAGGGTTGAGTTCCAAGACTGCCCCAACGCATGAAGACAGATACATTTCTACTGGCTTCACCACATCAGCTGCTTTGCAACTCCTGCTTTCTTTGATATTTGTGCTGGGAGGTTTCCTCCAAGCAGACTGTGCTCTTCATTACCAAAAAAACTTCAGCAGGTGAGCTGAAAGACCGTAAGGAATAAAGAGGAAGTGGGTGTGCTAGTAACTGGAGCAGAGCTGATGGATTAATTTTATGATGGAGACACAAGATTTATGGTTTTCTCAGTTACTGCTGTTATCAGTCAGAAACAGAACCATCCTAGCCAGCCACCCACTGTTCTGCAGTGTTTACTACACACCAGTGGGTTTGGGACCTTAAAATCCATCCACAGCTATTCTCCTGCACTCACTTTCCCCCAACAAAATGTTACACAGGAAAGAAAACCAGCAGCCAAGCAGTCCTGCTCATGCTTCACCACTTTTCTCTTACAGGTGAAGCATTTACACATGGTGAATAACATCATATACCTCCCTGGTTTTACCTGCTAATGCAGTATTCCTTGTCTCCAGGTATACCCAGGTAGCGTGGTCGTTCACCAGTGGCAATGAGAAATCTCTCGGCCGTGTACAGCTTCTCAACTCCTCTCTTATTTGTTGCCTGTGGACAAAGTATTAGTCCAAAGTGAGTATTTTGCAGTCCTACCAAGGGAAAAACTATTCTATCTGAAAGGCATCTCTAGTCAGAAAGTACCACAGGAAGACCCAGCACATATGGCCAGGCAGTACCTTAACTGTGTGTGGCCCGACAAATTCTCCATACGCATTCTCATACGTGACATTCTTCTCTCTCAGTGCAACCCGATAGCCCCAGTTCAGTGAACCAATGTAATTCTGAACAGATTCTGTCATAGTCATCCAGTTGTGTTTGACTGTTAGAAAAGAAAAAGTTTCATCTTTCAGCCTGAGAGTTCATCTTTTTCCATAGCCAGCCTTGTATTCTCAGATTTTCTCATGACCCGGTCACGTCTGTCTTACTCCTTTTTTATTCCACGGTCACTCTACTGAAATCCCAGTAACTACGTCAGCACCGAGGTCACAGTGGAACAGATATGACAAAACATGGAAAATTTACACTTACTGCATTACCAGTAGTTTTCTATTGGCACATGCTGTGAGCAGGTAATATTGCTCAGCAAATGAAGACTGTGCACCTGAGAGGTGCCCCTGCATGTTCCCCACTACAGGATTACACCCTAAATAGATCCCAATCCTATAACCATGCACATTAGAGCCAATACAAAGTAAAATTCATCTTCCTATGTAGTAGTGAAGGAAAGGAAATCCTTGCCTGCAATTATGAGTAAGTTTCTAACGGGGGACATTCTGAGGTATTCCCTTCGATGCTGTGCTACACTCAGCAGTGCAGTAGTACCTCACTGCTTTTATTCACACAGTGACCTTATTACTAGCTTCCGATCATGTTAGTATTTGATAAACAGATCAAACGCTGCACAGCAATAAGCCCTGTGGCTTTACACTTGAAAAGCACTTAAGTGTAATCCCTCTGAGGTGGTCTCACACTATTAAAACCAGCACACGCTGAAGCACAACAAGCACATGACCATGGAAAAGAACCCCTGTGTTTTCAGCACAAATGAGAAAACTGGGGAAGATGGGGGGGGTGGGGGTGGGGAAACCCACAAAACCAAAACACAAACAGTTCTCCTCTTTTACCTTCTTCTGTAAACTGCCATCCAAACTTGCGTGAGTCTTGCAAGGCTTGTCCCAGTAAAGCTGCCTGGTGCATCAGTTTTTTAGGTATACAGCCCACGTTTACACAAGTTCCTCCAAGACCTGGGAGAAAGGAACAGAAGGTGTTTTTCACAACAGCATGGCTGATCTCAAAGAAGGACCGAAGGACCGGAGTCTCTGCGTAAAGCTCCTTTATAGCACTTTTGCAAAGAAAAGACATTTACCCCATGACTGTCCCAGAGGTGTAGGCATGACAAAGTCCAGCACCATCACTTTCTTTTCATATTTGGCAGCCTCCTGCAAAACAAATTAAGTAAGACAAGTATCTAAATATTACAGGTTAAATTTGGAGTAGATGATAACATCGTGCATTGCTGAAAAGCTTTGTGACTTTTAATTAAGTAATAATGAATGATTTGCAAGTGAACAGCCAGACAGTCATTAATCTTCTGACTTAGTCTGTGCTTTCAGTAGGAAAAAAACAATCAAGGCAAAAAACAGGCATTCACCCTGCTACACAACAGCATGGTACTATCGATACACAGAAGGCTCTGGGAGCCAAATCTCCTCTGTCCTCCATCCTTGCAGTTTGTTCACACTATTACCCAACATGCCACTTACTTTCAACATATCAAATAAATTCTTCATTAATCCAAATTCCTTTCAAAGACAGTTTCTCAAACGTTCGTTTGAAACCACATCACACAATGACATAAGCGGTCACACGGTCAAGTATTACAACCACCCTTATCCAACCTTTTTTATTGCAGAAGGGAACACTGGGGTTTGAGTACAATCTGCAGTTGTCAGGATCAGCTCTTGCTTCTCAAGTTAGTCAACCTGCAGCAAGCTGACTTTACTATCCAGATGTGCAGATGTCATCCAGACTAGAAAAGGGGTTTATTTCATGATATTTTCCCTGAGAACTCTCATTAGCAAACCTAAAAGCAATGTGTGTAAATGATACTGTGTACTTGAATTTCTACACTGACTGCATTATTCCCTTTGTGCTTCTTAAGAAAGAGGCAAAAATTGACAGTGCTAACTGGTACCAGAGAAAAACACTTCAGCAAGCACTACACAGCTGACAGATTCGCCCATGAGATGCAGCAAAATAACTTTGATATTTGGAGTAACCACAACTGCGCTGCATCTCGTGAGTTCACAGACGTATAAGCAATAACAACTGTAGGCAGAGGACATTACCCTAAGGCCTTGGGTTTGGTTTGGGAGGAGCTGGACAGCCTTCAGCTTTATTACCAGTAATACTTGTTAATCCAAATAGTCAACAATCAGAATTTCAATTTTAAATGTATCTTACATCATGCAAAATACAAATCATACTTCAAACAAAGCAGGGTGTAGGCACCTTCAGAAAATATTAATGTACTGGACTGCTGCTTCTGACTAAAGGTCAAGGCTGGCCAAGAAGCTAACTTCTATCCAGCAGCAGTACCTCTGAGAAAGTGCCTCAGAAAGGTGCTTAGGGACTGAGATACATTATTAATGCTCCTTGGTAATGACAGCTCAAATGACCTTTACTAGTGTTGGCTGGTGAGAATGCATGGGTTTGGGTTTGTTTGGGTTTTTTGGGGTTTTTTTTACAAGGGCAGGTGGTGACAGGACAAGGGGTAATGGGTTTAAATTGAAAGTGGGGAGGTTTAGATTGGATATCAGGAAAAAATTCTTCACGGAGAGGGTGGTGAGGCACTGGAACAGGTTGCCCAGAGAAGCTGTGGATGCCCCATCCCTGGAAGTGTCCAAGGCCAGGCTGGATGAGGCTTTGAGCAACCTGGTCTAGTGGAAGGTGTCCCTGCCCATGGCAGGGGGGTTGGAACTGGATGGTCTTTAAGGTCCCTTCCAACCCAAACCATTCTGGGATTCTAGGATTCCCAAGCTAACACTCAGCCGCACACTCCCACAGTACAACACAGTACTGCATTGCCACCTCAGTAGAGAGCACCCACAGGTGGAACTACTTCTGCAGAGGGATATGCCCACGGTAACAAAACCTGCCCCGCAGGCTTTCAAACTTCACTGGGTTCAGTGCAGAGCTGCGGGAACACAACGAGGTTGCTTAGGGCTGGCCCTGTCTGCGTGAACTGAGAGTGGCACTTTGGTCTGGGTCTGCCGCTGGGTTGCACAGGGTCAGCCTGGCAGCGTTCTCACCCACGGTGGAGACACATTTCCAAAATAACGAGCTCTGAGCAGAACTGAGACGGAAGGCGTGCACACAAAACTGCACATGGCGTAGTGAAAAGCACATATTTAATCAACCTAAACTGCTGCAAACCTGAGTGTAGGTATCTGGAACTTGGAATAAGAGCTGTGTATTTGGTTTGTTTGGGTTTTTTCCCCTTTTGTTTTGCTTTTTAAAGCACTGAAAATTAATTCACTTAAAAAAAAAAAATTGAAGAATCTAGGTATAAACCAGAAGTATGTGTGTAAAACAGTTTCCCTTCAACTTCACGACAGTGATTTGAAATACACACCTTACAACCGACTGGGATGTTGACTTTATTGATCTACCAGCTTCGGCTCTGCCCTACAGTCACTTGACAATGCTAAGCAGCAATATATTTTATATACCCAGTTGAAGGTACAAGGCAATTTATCTTCCTAGCTACATACCTTTGCTGTCCCACAGCTGAAAAATGACGCAATAAACATCATTGCTGTAGCTTCACAGCCTCACACACGTACACAACAAAGCTGAGCAGCCTCCTTACGGAAATGTCAACTGATGGCTTTTTGTTCCTGCAAACTGTCTTTGTATTACTGCAAGCTCCCTTTCACTCTTGTTACTCTCTTCTTCCTAAAACATCCCCAACATCTGAAAAAATCAGTGCTTCTTTTCTGCAGGTTTTCAGAATTTTTATAGATCTTACTTTCCATCCTTCACCATGGCAATATTGCTCCTACTAATGGGAAAGCAGTAAACTACCAAAACAGATTATGGACACAGGGGAAGTTACAATCTACCACTCAGTGCAGCGCTCTGCCATTATAATAGAAGCTCTTCCAAGGGACCAAGGTTTCATGTGAATCCAATGCTATGCTGAAATACTTTAATTTTTGTTTCACTCTTCGATAACCTCCTTCACTTCTTGAGACAAAAAGCAGCACCTCCTGTCTGGTGGAATAATCCAGCTCCAAGTCTTGAGCAACAAAGTAGTTTATTTCTGGGAACACTCAATTCACCTCTACATAGTCAATTCTACCACAGCGAGAAGAGGCAAAGTATGCCCAACTACTGATGTAAAGGAGAGTTACTGACTTACATTAAAGTTCAGCAAGTTTCAGACTTCTAGGATAATGACAACTCTAAGAGCTGGTATATTCTACACCACTGTCAACTCTTTCAATTCATTCTAGATATGCTTCTGAAAGCAACATCCTAACAAAAAATCATAAATTATTTGGCTACAGGCAGGAAGTGCCAGACCCTAGAAATTAAGGGTAAGATCCTAACTCTACTTAAGTACAGGCAAAATCTCATTTATGCAACCCCATAAGCTCACAAATCACAAAATCTTCTCCATTGTCAAGAATTAAAACAATACGAGCGACTATCTCTGAACAGATATTACTTTCAGATAAAACTAGTAACCCTCCTGATGTTAATTTCAAATAGGTTTTTAAAAATTTTCAATTACGAGTTGAACATTAACTCAACCACTAATAAACACTGTTGAGACATCTACCTTCTGATTTGCAAGAGCATCATCTCCCATTAGTGGGGACCAAGTTATTATATTAAGAATTATACCGTGACATTTTTTGGTTTTTTCTTCTTCAGAACACAAGGAAAAGGATATTGTATAACTGGAGCTGATCTCAAAAGAATTCCCACTGATCAAGGTAGAAATGTTATGCTCCTACAGTATTAAAGATTCCCAGATCCAAGACGTTGAGGGTGTCACCCACCTACACACAGGGAAAGAATAAATCTGCATTTTCTCTCTCATACCTTGGCAGCTGCCAGACCACCTGAGCCCCCACCAATGACAATGAGGTCATAGTCATAGGAATGCGGCACCAGTGTATGCTCATTCATTTCCAGCAGTTTCTGAGGCTTGCCTTCCTTATGTGCCTGAACAGAGAAAACAGAAAGGATTAGGGAACATTGAAACATTACCCACAGCGCTAAAAAATTGGTATTTTCAGCAGCAAATATTGTGATAAGGGAACATCAGTGCATGTGAATTTCCTAAGCTCTGCTTTTAATTAGCTATTTTACATTTCATCTTCTTAATCCATCCTTGGATAGCTCAGTACCTAATAGATACTGAACTATGAATTTTCTTGTTTGTTGGAGCCCTGGGTTTCCTTGCAGAGTTTAATTTTCCACATCAACGCAGATCCAGTGCTTCCTCATACGATGTACTCCAGGATGAGATACATACCTGCTGACACAGGCATTCCATTAACTTATTTTATTCTTTTTATCTGCCCTGGACTTCCCTAATTAGTGTTTTTCCCCTCCTCCTGCATATATTAGTAGGAAAATACAAAAATCACATACAGTATTGTAATAATCTGCAATTACCAGCCTTTCCAGCTGAATGAACAAAACTGTATGAAGAAAATTTCTGAAATCTACATTTTTGTAACATGCCTGTGTTTATTATCACTTTGGTTTAGCATTGTAACTAACTTTGGTATCAAATGGATCAAATCTGGTCACTACAGTTTCACAAGACATTCTTTTTTTTTTTTTTTTTGATCAGATGACTACTACCACAGAAGAACAACCCCTAAGTCCTAAAATGCGTTTTGACAGCTGTATGTCATGAAGAACATTGCATTGTCTTCACATACTCTCTCTAAAATGAGCCTTTTATTTAATTTGCAAAGCTCCAATTCATCAAGGCTGGAGACCTTCAAGCCTTTGGAGTTGCTGGCAAAATTCTCAGTGCCTCTCCAACTGCAGGACAAGATCTGGAGTGAGTAAAATTCAGATTCCTCAGTTGATATAAGTCGGTGAATATCAACTAAAGTCATGACAAAACTTTTATGACCAGAAAAGTAAATTAAGAAACCCATACTTGGTTACTGTACAGATCTGTTCACTTGAATAAAAGTGTTCCTACCCACCTAACTAGGCAGGACTTGATACAGTACTACTGGAATAGTCATGATAAATGAAAGAAAAAAACCCAAATAAGTTTCCCTTCTCTTTTCACCTTAATTTTGTTTGTTTGCAGCCCTTTGTGCTCAACCCATTCTACAGTCACCTTCCTCCGAGGTTAGATTATCCCTCCTCTCTTAGACAAGTAGTAACTGTGTCTACCCCAGAGACTGCGGCAGCGGGGTCACATCTCTGACACAAATCCCCTAACCCTCCAGGAAATTACACAGCTATGTCAGCAGAAAATCAGACCGTGCATCTGCCTGTAGAAAGTTACATTTTAATAGCAGTTCATAACCCTGGGTAGCATGTTAAGAGTAGAAACAAAACCTAGAAAACACCTGTGGCTGTTGTGAAGCCATCCAAAAATACCCCATCTTCCTTCCTCTTCTCATCCTGCTCCGTCACCCCAACGCATACCCCTACCGCTCAGTCTGTTTTGCGCTCAGTTCCCCTTTTATTCTTCTAATGGGGCCATTGGCCAGGCTCAAACCTCCTGCTGCAATCACAGTAAGAGTCAGAAAGGAGCATATATTGTATCGTGATATGCAATTTCACTTTATTCATATTCACAGAGTGGTAGGGATTGGAAGGGACCTCTGGAGATCACCTAGTGCAACCCCCCCTGCCATGGCAGGTTCATCTAGAGCAGACTGCACCGGAATGCAGCCGGGTGGGTTTTGAGCATCTCCAGAGACATTTAGGGACACAGAATTAGAGAAAGGGGGCCGTTCTTGCCCAAAGCACACCTTCTTGTCTGCCCCATGGCAAGAGGGTGGTGTGATGCTTGAGGGCAGGCTAACTCCCACGGTCATCAGACCAGGGAAACCACAATAACCACGCAGGGATCTTGCTTGGATCACGACCCGTATCAAGCTACTTTTTTTTTTTTTTTAAGAAAAATGCTTTATGGTTTCACATGGATTAAGAAACTTCATTCCCTACTGTTTGGTCCATTTTTCATCAGTTCTTTTCTTCGTGAAAAAAGTTCAGGTCAGACAGAGGCAGTTACAACCTTCCCTTCCGAAACCAGCTCCCAGGACCCCGCTCCCAAGCGGCCAGGATCCCGCCAGGCTCCGCTTCCCATTTACCAGGGGCACTCGCTCACGGCCATCATCCCACCCCGAGCACAGTTCTCCCCCATTCTCCCCCCAGGAACGGCAGTTTTTAAAAGAAAGCCCGCATTCGGATTACTGCCCAGCGTCAAACCTCAGTTGCAGACTTGAAGACGTC